GGTGATCAGAGCAGAAGAAGCAGCTTATCAAGGTGATTGAATTTTGACGTCATGGTATTCGAACAAAAATTCGCCTCACGAAATATACGTCAAACTTCAAAATTCCAGTCCTTGTGTATATAGTCATTACATTTATATATCAAATTTTAAAGTATAGCTAAACTTTCTTTTTCAACGAGTTTTTGAGAAGCTAGTAATGAATTGGTCTTAACAGTAAATTTTTCGTAACTTTTGAAATAATTTTAAGTTAGATGTAAATAGATATATTTTCATAGAAAAGGGGAAAGGAAAATTCCGCAACCAAACCAACACACTGTTTTCATTTTGCTGACTGTAATTCTTAGAAAAAGGAATAAATGAATGGTTTAAAATTAGAAGACAATATTTTAGTTAATTATTTATTGATTTTAAGGTTTTTTTTTTTCTTTCATAAAGAGGGAGTAATATTTAAGATAAATGATGCCGGTGATATCATTTAAAAGTGTGATGATAATTAATCAAAATCAAGAATATAGTGAGGGTGAAAAGAGCAGTAAAGGAAAGGAATGGAACCAGAACTCAATAATCTCTATATACACGAACGTTGCCGACAATCATGCTAATAGAAAAGGAAATACAATCTGCACAGTTAATGTGATTACAATCTTGATAGTTATTGCTAACTATATCTTTGATATCTTGGCTTGATTACTGGCTTATACACCCCCTCAAGTTGGAGCATGAAGATCTCGATTGCCCAACTTGCATAATAATGAAGAAAAGCGCTCACACCCCAATGCCTTGGTAAAAATGTCTGCAATCTGTTGCTGGGAAGTTAGGTATCGAGTAACAAGCTCCCTTCGTTGTAGTCTTTCACAGATAAAAGTGGCAATCTATCTCAATATGCTTGGTTCTCTTGTAAAACACCGGATTGGTAGCTGTATGCAAAGTTGCGTGATTGTTACAATACAATGTCATAGGCTAGATGTGTGGAACATAAAGATCATGAAGCAATGACTTCAACCAAATTAGCTCACTCATTGTTGTAGCCATTTCCCTATATTCAGCTTCGGCGAAAGATTTTGAAACTGTGGCCTGCTTCTTAGACTTCTAAGAGATGGGAGAGTTGCCAAGGCCAACAAAATATCCTGTCGTTGAACGCTTAGTAATGGGGCATCTTGCCGAATCTGCCTCACAATAGGCTGTCAAATGTAAAAGACTTGAGGATGGCCACAAAATCCCTTGTCCAAGTGAAGCCTTGATATTGCAGCACTTGTAAAATAGCATCAAAATGCTCATGTTTTGGACTTTGCATAAATTGCATGAGAATGCCAACCGAGTAGCAAATATCTGGCCTTGTGATTGTTAAATATAAAAGCCTCTTAACAAGTCTTCGATATTGTGCAGGTTCTAAAAAAGGCGGACCAATAGCATATCCTAAATTATGATGTTGCTCCATGGGAAACATGCTTGGCCGAGTTCCTATCATTCTTGTTTCAATAAGAATGTCAAGAGCATACTTTCTTTGATCCAAGACAAGGCCTTCATTAGTACGAGCAACTTCAATGTCGAGAAAGTATTTTAGAGGTCCGAGATCCTTGATTGAGAGTTTAGCATGCAAGTACTGCTTAAGCGCCTCAGTTCTAGCTGTATCATCTCCAATGATGACAATATCATCAACATATATCAACATTGCAACAAACTTATGATTTTTGGTTGAAGTAAATAAAGAGCAGTTCACCCGAGATTGAATGAAACTTGTCGCCTTGATAGATTTTGTAGACTTTTCAAACCAATTACGAGAAGCCTACTTAAGCCCAGTGACTTACACAACCTGCAAACTAAGTTCTTGCTTGGACATGTGAAACCTTGCGAAATTTTCACAGACACTTCTTAATGTAAATCTCCTTGTAGGAAAGCATTATTCACATCTAGTTGATGTAGCTTCCAGTGCTTGATAGAAGCAAAAGCAAGCAGAACTCGCACAATTACCAATTTGGCGACAGGGGCGAATGTTTCATGGTAATCAAGGCCCTCAATCTATGTAAAGCCTTTTGCCACAAGCCTTGCTTTATAGCGTTCGATTGTTCCATTTGGCTAATATTTGATCTTATAGACCCATTTCAAATCTATGGCTCATTTCCCATGTGGAAGTGGCTCAAGTGTCCATGTGCCATTTTGCTCAAGTGTAGTAATCTCTTTCCTCATGGCTTCTCTCCACTTCTCATTCTTAATGGCTTGGAAAAAGGAAGTGGGCTCATCTATGGATGTGATGGCCACAAGGAAGGCTTGATGATTATATGAAAAGGAATTATATGAAAGATGATTAAAAAGTGGGTAGAGAATACCTAAGTTAGCTAAGTGGAATGGAGCTTCATTGGGATCTAAAGATGAGGGCAGATTGCACACATAGTCTTGGAAGCGTTTGGGAACATGCCTTTCTTGTTGTGGCTGAATAAGGTGTGGGTGTTTAGCATTAGGATGATTGGTAGTCTCCAAGTGGGTAGAAGGGTTGCACATTGGTGTCTAGGTGACGTGAACTTTCTCCTAGATTGGCAAAATCAATCTCATGTTGTGTTTGGTAGGAATCATTTTTGGTTGGGGGTGCTACATCAATTGCCTCTATGATGTTTGGTGTGGACAATGCCATAGATTGTGTAGTTCCTGTAGTAATCTCATCTTGTGTTGGGTAGGAATCATTCTTGGTTGAGGGTGCCGCATCAATTGCTTCTGTGATATTTGGTGTGGACAATGCCATAGATTGTG